TGTCGGGTTTGCGTCAAGCTGCCCAGGGGCTGCCAGGCTTGATTCTTGCAGTAGCAAACCATTGAACACCCGGAGATGCCCTCCCACCGTCACAGATAACGTGTGACGCTCGTGCTCTACACCAATCGAGCTGTGAGCTTGTAACCCGTAGACCAGTTGTCTCCCATATCTGGGTTTTACGGAAAGAGGGCCATCGACCACTTCCTAAGTTCCGAAGAGGATGGACTAGGATACTGGCAGGGTGCCCACATCTGACAAGAGAGCGACTCGGGTCCTCGGCGGAAGCCTTCGATTAAATGTGCACCCGAAAGGCAGCGGGTCTGCCACATTTTCATTTCACTGACTCGTGCGGATTGGTGTCCTGGATCTTAGCAGGGAGAGGGGCGTAACCGTACTCCCACTCAACGGTCGCCACGAGGAGGTGTCCAGGATATGATCCCATGGCACAACAGTAAATCATCTGCCAGGATCTAGCCATCACCAGCGTCAGGGCACCATAAGGTCTTCCACTCCTCAGTAGTATAAAATACGTTCGTATATCTTCTAAGTCCTATGTGGTACATAGGCACTATGCGAAAAGTCCTAGCTCGTGAGGCTAGCCATTGTCATCTGCACAGTTCGTAACTGGCATGGCAGTGGAAGATGAGCCGAGCTATATCATAGTCAACTGTCAATCACGCAGGCCCACGGCTGTCACCCACGGCGAAGTGGCACTAGCTGCTGGCATCCTGAAGTCATGGGAGCGGAACCCGGCGGGGGTCCGCTGGGAGGCGCACCAGAGGGTCAAAACGCCGGCATCTGATGCTTTTCCAGATTAGCCTAAGCCTGCTGATTAGGAATGAGAATGATGAATTAGCTGAATTCTTCCACCAAAGCCTAAAATACCCTCCTATTTACCCACGATAACCAGCTCTGTCTGATCGTGCACTTTCGGCAAATTTGATGTGTCTTATCACTGGATGCTTGCTTATGACGTACGGGTTAATGTCAGCTCTCTCTTCCTCTGTCAACGCATTCCGCGATAGAAAAATATTTATGGTACACAGTAATAATGTATTGCACTTATCATGTCCTGCGGGACATGTAGTCGTCATAATACTAGTAATCCGATTTTATCGCGTTGGAAAATTGGTGGAGTCTGTAAATAATTCCTGATACTTTAAATACAATCCCCTTTAAGCATCAAGTGCCATAAATTAAAATTTTACGGTTGGGGAGCTTATCGCATCCATAGAGCTCAGCACTTAATGTCTATGTTTATCGCTTTCACTTATCTGACCGCAGACAGAAAACTACAGGTTTTGGGCCAGCGGCTTCTATGTTTTGATTTGCGGACGTGCAGGAAATCAGTTTAGCCATTTCTACGCCAAAAGTGACATGTAAGCCATCGGCGCCTTCTGTGTCCATAAGGCCAAACTTCTATGAATAGGTGCTCCGTTGGAAGCTATTCACCTGAAACGGTTTAATTCTTTCATGGAAAACCAGTTTATTTCCCTCGAAATTGCGCTTAGCTCAGAAAAGATACAAATACATGCTAGTTCTTGCATCCAGGTATAATGGAAGGCGTCAATGCCACCCTGGCTCGTAGCATGTTCAACTAATATCTAACACTTAAGTCAGTAATTGCATCGACTATAAAAGTATGTGTTGTAATTACGTTGTCGTACGCTTGCACAGGCACAACCACTTCTCCGGTGAAGTGAAGTGAGTATACCGACCAATGGTCGAGTTACTATTGGCCTATCCCGTCGTCAAGATCCTGATTTACCAGAGACCGTAGCTCTAGAGGCTACGCTCGTTCTCTGAAAAGTTCGTAGCGTTCATGATATTGATGTTTGGGCCAAAATGGATCCAGAAAACGCACCAGCCACTATGCTTTAGTGACTTAAACCATGAGCATAAGCAAACTAAGTGTTCACAACTTGGTTGAGTTGGGTAAACACATGAATGCCAAATCGCAGTAGCACCAGACTGCTGTGCAGTGCTTTTTTGGACGCTTGGGGTTTGCGTTGTTAAGAGCTGCCTGAGTTGAACAATCCGTAAATTACACAGAAATACGTTGTTCAGTAGTAAAGTGGGCATTGTGTGTTGCTCACCCGAAAACACTGCACCCCATGAGCGAGTTCGAAATTGTCTGATCTCAGCAAGTGGAGATAGCAGGCACTCTAACTCGGTGGAGGCAACAACCACCACCTAGTTACTTCAGTAGTTATGGTCCCAGGGATCGAATCGACCAACGTTCACTTCAACGGGCATCGCGGTCCACATTGAGGTTGCGCATTCCCATCCATCCACACAGTGAATGTTTTGAGAAGACCTATTGGGCAGCATAAGACTTCAGTTCGGTTCTCCATCGGATGTGATTAATGCCTTTGTAGACAAAGTTGTTCAAGTAAGGTCATATGGTTGAAACGCTCAGAGCATAGCGGTTCATTTTTCAATCCATACAACAAAATATGCTGCGCCACAGTATTACAGACTCCTCCCTTAATGGATATACCTACATCCTTTCGTATACATAATTGATGGAGGTCTTGAAAAGTCGCACGGATCCTAGCGACCTTTACAACAACCTATTCGGTTATGTGATTCCAAGAAGCGATGCAAATATCCAACCGAGTCAACAGATCTAACTCATGGGTGCGGTTGATTCGTGACGGTGAGTGCCCGCAGACACTGATGTGGCTGTACCCGTATGTGCGGAAGCATGGACCACTCATTGTCCATATTTAGGTGTAATTGGATGTTCACAGTTACAGTGATATGAAAATTCAGGAGTAGCTGCTACCAACCATCAAGCCAGTGAAAACATTTATTAGCATACAGAGTTGTGACAGAATGAAACCATTGTCCAGACTACACGCATTGAATCCAAACCCTTAACCTGCAGAGCTGGTATAATTTCCACACGGAGGAGAGCGAGTTCGCTAATCCTTACACCTTGCAACCGCTTTCCGGTATCAAAAGTGGGACATCGTTGCGGTCAGCGTGAAAGTTAATCAGCCACTGACTTGTCAAAGACACAAGAGCAATTCGGACAAAACAACAGAGGCAGGGTCTTCAACCTTACCGTTGCAGTTGTCATTGGAAAATGGTTCTACGCTATGCACTGCGGACTTTTTTGTTGTTCTACGAACTATGTCATCAGTTGTTTAATTGAACTGATGTTATGGTTGACAATGGTGTCGTGTTCTTGTGAGCTATTGCTTTAGATCCGTGAAGCTGTACGGAAACCTCTTCCAGTCGAATAAGGTCACAAAATCATAAACAATTTCAAAGTACTGCCAGAATATTTAGGGAAGAAAAAGCACCGTTTTAGCCGACAAATCGGACTCACGCTGTCCTGCTCACAAGGCGCAGATTCCATTAATTTTTCATGCAACGCACGATCGATTCTCGATAAAACTGTTGAGTTCGCGAAAATTTTACAACCAAGAGCACCCCGGATTGTAGGTATAGTACTTGTTCAAGAATCTTGCTTACGTTCCTACATTACTGGAGTCATTAAACTTAA